GCTTTTAGATGTTTTATCTCTCTTTTTCATTAACGTGCTGTTTGTATAGACTGCAATTGTCAAACTCAAGCACACTTTTGCTGTATACATACGATATTTCAAAATATTCTCTACAAAGTAGATGACGCAAAAACCTAACAAAGATATGATATGATCAATTGGGATTGTCAGTATACTCCGATAATTTGTGATTATCATCCAATCGTTGAATATTGCACGATACTATCATTAAACTTAACTCATATCCATGACCAAAGCACGGCGCAGTGCTTAAACTTCACAAAATACAGTCTTAAACAATACTGAAGAAATCATGAAAACCTAGATATTTAAATTAAACAACTGCGAATGAATAAATTTAATCAGAAAACTCAATAAAGAAAAACACAAAATCAAACAGCTATCAAACAACCAAGTAGGATTAGACTATTTAAATTAAATATTTATAAAATATCGAACTTTTATAGTTCATTACAAATTATTAATAAAGTAAATTTGTTAGTATATGAAGCTTTGACAATTAAGCATCTGAATTTATTGAATATCACTTAGTTATTATTCGAAAAGTACAGCTGGGAATTCACTAGAATTGTCTCCTGAACACAATACTTACAAATACTTATAAATATGTTGTTTACAAATTACAATACTATCCTATCAATAGATAGTATTTTAACAGAAAATATTATTTTGGCAAGAAAACTTATGAAACACTTTGTTAGCTATTATAGGTTGGAAAAAGGAAAACTAAAATAATCAAATTTATTTACATAATAAACAAGTTCCAAGATTGTGGTAAGTAAGATACGATTGGCAGGAAGTCAACCAATCAGGAATAATAGATCAATATAGATTTTTGACCGATAAGAAACAATGGAATTCTAGTCATGGCAACGACACTGTATACAATAATTTTTAATCAACCTGATGATTTAAAAAATGATGAGTATCAATGACGTAACTCATAATATACATAAATGAGTTGATGGAGTAGTACACAACATAAAATTTACGAAAATTCATTATTATTAATAATTTATTGGTTTGGTTCTCTATTGACAATTCGCTTAAAATTCAAAATAAGAATTTTTTGATTGTCTCCTGCAATATTAATTTTATGGACTCAGGGGTTTGATATAGAGTATAACTTCCTAAAGACATGATCTACAAGACTAGTTTGGAAAAAAGTTGTAACAAGTTGTCTTAAACCTTGGATATATTTAGACACAGCACGCATATCCCTAGAAGAATCATGCCTTCACAAAAACCTGGAACTCATGGATTCGATTATCTATGAAATTATCGATAAATGCTAAGCCCCTGCAAAAAAACCTACTACTTGAGCAAGCAGTAAAGAGTGAAGGATAAAGTCTATTTGACTACAGAATAATCTGTATAAATACTCATTAGTGTATATACATTCCTTTGTTCTTTAGGACATTGCTGATTGTCATCAAGTGACCTTATCAGTTAGACACTTCTAAATGGCTCACTATATTACGTACATCGTCGGTTGTAAGTGGTTATCAGGTTGGCAAGAACTAATGTTAAATAATTAGCACTTCTTATTTCAGCGTAACCATCATTCCTTGCCACCACCGGTACCGAAAATATTGACCTCAATAATATTCCGACACCTAACGAAAGCTCGTAAAGAGCAAACTAGAGAAAACCAGGCTGGTTTTTGACCTAGACACGGATGTATAAACCAGATATTCACACTACGTCAGGTCCTAGAACAAAGACACACGTTCAGACGCCCCACAATAGTTGTATTTTTCTCGAACTTAGGGCGGCATTCAACTCTGTTGATCGTGAGGTTCTGTAGCAGTGTCTGTCATTAAAAGGTGTATCAAAGAAGTACATTAACTTTATACAAGCTCTCTACTCAAACAATAAGGTAGAGTGAGAGCTTAAGGCGAACTGTCATTAGAATTAGTTACTTCAAGTGGTGTACATCAGGACTGTACACTCCCCCCAATCTTCTTTAACTTTGTCGTAGATATGCTTCTAGAGTTAACTTTATCATCGTTAGATTTTTCATGAGTTGACCTTAACCAGGAGACACGCTTACTGACTTAGAATATGTTGATTACATAGTCCTATTAGGTGAAGACGCTCACAAAATGCAGTCTTCTGACTACCCTAAGCAACATTGCAAGCATGTTCGGCATGCGGTTTTCCCCCTCGAAATGCAAAATGTTGCTTCAAGATTGGGTTGCGTTGGCACCTGAACTAGTGATTGGGAGTGAAGTAGTCGGATGTGTAGACCGCCTCATTTATCTCATCAGTGCTGATGGCCTGGTAACTGACGAAATCTCAGCACGGATACAGAGGACTCGATTGGCTTTTGCCAACTTGCGTCATTTATGGCGTAGGCGAGATATCCGTTTGCTAACCAAAGGTCAAGTGTACTGCGCAACAGTCCACTCTGTCCTACTATATGGATGCAAACCGTGGCCGGTAAGAGTAGAGAATATCCATAGGTTATTAGTATTCCATTATAGATGTCTTCGGAGCATTGCTCGTATATCTTGGGACAACCGAGTAAGCAATGCTGTTGTTAAGACACGGGTACTAACTAAGAATGTCAGATCAATAGATGAAGTACTGAACGCTAATCAGTTGAGGTGGTTGGGACATGTGTTACGGATGCCCGACTGCCTCGAAAAGCTATGTTTTGTAGTGTAGCAGTAGGTTGGAAGAGAGTTAGGGGCGGCCAGACCAAAACATGGCACAAATCCATAAAGTCAATGACGAATGGACTGAGTCATGTTGGTAGATGTAGGCTACCTGGTTGGTGTCCGCGAGACGAAAGTCACCAATGGTTAGAGACCTTGAATGACATGGCTCAAAATCGTTTGCAATGGTGCAGGTGCATCCACTCTTTGTGTTCTCTCAAATTCCAACCTTCTGAATTCCTCATCATCTCTGTCTTTCTCTTTCTAAAGTTATCTCACTGAATTATACTTCTGGAATCATATCTTGGAAACCTAATCTTCTTTATTACTGCTAATACTTCTACTATGTTTACCACTATGGGATTTGAACTGACAGTTGCGCCTCTGTGCTAATGCAGTATGGCAATCTGAACTGATGTACGCTCGTACGAAGTTCTATGTTGTAACTGACTGACTGACTGACCACCGGTCAACTCTTCACGTCTTTAACTTGATCCATCACATTTTTAACATATTTTTATTACAACCCTTAGGAATTCTACCTCCAAGCCAAGTCTTCGAGCGGTTGACTTATGAGGTCGACATTAAGTGGTCCTTAAAAGAGTTTTCATCCGGAATTGGTATTAACTGGAAATTTATCCAAAAATAGGACGTATTCAATGACATTTTTCGTATTAATTCAATACATCTGAGTAACATAAAATGAAAATATGATAAAATGTCATCAAGATATTCAAATAGACAACAGTCTAGAATGAGGATGAGAGTTGCATAATTAAACCATCTAGCTTAGAGAATACAACTTCATCTGAGCGATAAATATTCTCCATTATGTTAACAAAGACTTTTATATCTATTATGGCCCTTACAACTAACTAGTACTAGCTTTAGTTGTTATGATACGTGTATGTATTTTAGGTATGAAACCTGTTGATAATACACAGTTCCCCAAACTGAACTAAGTGAAACCGTGGTTAGAGTTTTGGATTGATAATTAAAAGTAAGATGCTTTAACGAGTCATCATTCTACTCTTTGGTTGAAAAGTTACTAATAAATTGTTATTATTATTACAAAACTAAATGCTATGAAGTTTATCGTGTTATATAAAATGTATTTTTGGCCATTTGTATTTTGTAAAATAGGACAATAACTTTGTCGACGAAAAAACTTCTACAAATGAAATACTAATCATCATTGAGAGTAATAACAAGAATTATCCTTTAATTACAGTTAAACATCTAATGATGCTTGTAGGATACATATAAATCGCAAATGCAACTTCAATTTTATGCTAAGCTTTAGTTCTGTGTTTGGTTGTAGATTTGATTAAAAATATTTTGTTGTTAGTCTTAATTAATAAACAAAAATTAACATGAAGCTTATAGATGACAGGAACGTAAGGATAAATATTTGAATTATCAAGGTGATAATCTTATCTAACGATGTAACAGAACACTCAAACCCTCATCGATAAACAAATGAGTGCTAGTAAAGCGATAATCAGGCAGCAACACACGAGGTAGTTGAGATAAATGTGTATTTATCCACGTGTCTTTACTTCATATTAGAAGTTACCACTCCAAAAAACGAAAGTGTATATTGTGATAAAAATCTTGGTGGCTATTGAAGTGTAGGAGGAATTAACACATTCAGGTAATGAGTCCTAGGTAGGACGGAAAGTGAACCATAGATTCTATTGCTAGCTATTATACAAGTTTACCGTTATACTTGCAAATATCTGTCAATATTGAGGCAATCCGCTCAAGATGAATATATGCTAGAAGTGGTTGATCAGTCACAGTCTTTAGTATTAACGGTAACATATAAATGCTCACAAATTGAAGTGCATGAAATATGACTCAAATGAATTTATTGAAATCGAATAAAAAAAGTCTAAAACAAAAAATAGGCTATACGATGATAACTGCGTTTTCGCCATAGTTAACATCTAAGACTATAAACTCAGATATACGCCGAACGTTTGCGATCTTATCGACTACACAAGATGATACATTGTATTTAGTATTTTATATGAAGTGTTTGTTGATATTTATTTGCGGAATGTGTGTAGAGAAATCGGCCTTGAATAATCGATTCTTGTCTTAAATATCACAATGAGACAAAGTGGTTCTGATATGTTAGCATTCAAACAATGAAATATTTGTTTTTTTAACGCAGCAATTTAAAGCAACTGTTAGGCAGATAACAATACGAGCTCAGTGTAATTACCGTGAATTTAGCAAATTATAGTCTTTATTAAATACCGATAATTTCTTCCAAGAATAGCAAAATTCGTATTTTAAAAAGCGTCTACTCACTTTCAAGTCTCGATGTACAACGCCTTGACTGTGCATATATTCAGTAGCTAGTAAGACTTGTCGAATAAGTGCACTTGCATCACGTTCAGTATAACTACCTTTCTGAACGATACGATCGAACAGTTCTCCTCCAGTAACTCTAAATTTGACAGAAAAAGTAAATAAATGTTCGCCAACAAACATCATTATAACTTCCAATCGATATAAAATAATTAGGAGTATTAAGAACTTGTTATTATGGTATTAAAATTACTGTTTTTCGAAAGGCCTTGTGAAATATATTATATCACTCTGAGGGAAAAGTTCCAGTGAACTGAATAACAATTTGATAAATATATTGCCCAATATTATCATAAGTGATTGTTTTATGAAACATGTTAAAAGGAAACTATCTATCTGTAAATAACAACTCCGATGAAAGATCCTGAGTTGGTACTGTGATTTTAGATCACCACCAAGGTGCGAAAAAAGATTTAAAATGGATCTTAAAAACATTCAGAATTACATCTTTCTGAAAATCAGCTAACACTATACGAAACGCATTAGTAAGAATTAAAGATAAGGCCCCTTTTAAATTCACACAAAATTGTGTCTACAGATTAGATTGTATCGAATGTGATGTTCCATACTGGGAAGTAGCCACATGAAATCTCGACTCAGGCCAAGGAACAAAAGATGCACGAAACGACAACCTAATAATCCTGTAGAGCTGAAAAACTTGCTAATTAAACTGGCAATAGCACAATATGCTATGTTCTATATAAACACACTTGGGTGTACCACTTCTGTTTTGCATGAACACGCTGATATCTTATAGATAACTAGATGAGGCATGAAACTCAAGATAAGTAAAAGGATAACAAATTTAACTAGTTGCAGTCATATTCACAACATGAGTTTTTATGCACGTTTACATTTAATGGGTGTAAAATATTGAGAATAATAATAGATTTTGCCCGAGACCTGTCAAATATCGAATCTAATTAACAGCTATAACTGGAATCATGTCAAGAAACTTACATCATACATCATTAATTCAAATTTAAGATAGAGTATCCTTCTTAAAGTGATTGAGGGCTGAAATAAAGATAGGTATCTAAATCTCATTTTATTAAACTGTAGCAATCCTTACGCTGTAAAGCGATTCAGTTATCATGTTTGAGCTTATATAAATGATAATGAGCTACGCGCGGTAGAAAAGTTGATAATAACACATAATAAGAAATGTTGAGACACTTTCAACCAGTGACCCGATAGCTAAAACCTGAGATCTCTAGTCAAATAATTAACAGTAAATAATCCAGTTACACACTGTTTTTATGTGTCTGATCATACGTAAAAGACACGATTTCACTACAAATCTGGAAGAAACTTAATCAAATTTCCGTAACTGACTTATATAACTTCGAAATAAGGAGAGACTTGATGGAAACACCACTTTATCAAATATTAAATAATATTATCAAACGAATTTTGATTTTAAAGGATAATTGCCAACTCACAGTTCCATCACGAGATAGTAACACTCCGCATCTTCTAGAACATCAAACAACTGTACTATGTTAGGATGCCTGAGTCTAGTTTTATGAAGAAATTCTAACGCACCAACAAACCTTCTCAATACTTCAATCTCATTGTTCAAAGATTCTTTGCGTGACTCAGCCTCCTTGATAGCACATTCTGAGTTTTGGGATTTGGAAAGGTACTTTTTGCGAATACATTTGATCGCTACGAATGACCCAGGGTTTCTCTGATCCTCTGCAAGACGGACTTCTGAGAACGCTCCCCTAGATGAATGAACAAAATTGTATTACACGAAATCAATCATACGTTCCCAATATTTCTTTAAATTCATAGTGGTCTATTGACTGGAACGATACCATCTGGATGAACTACGTAGTGAACGGTAACAACTGAACAAGATGCATTTCTGGCAGTGAATTAAAATGATATCAAGGTTGTAGTTAACCCTTTTCAATATCCAATACCCATTATCTCTTCCACGACCTAGTAAAAATCGATTGATTTCTTTGCTCTCGGTTCTTGTTCTATCGTTACGATTCCACGTGTTTGGTAGTATGCAATGAATGGGGTTTCAGCCACTCGACTGTTTAATTCTAGTCAGTTGGCAGTTGGTTGTGAGTTCTTATATTCCGTGATTCAAATGAAAACTTTATATTCAGCGCAGCAGGGTTTCTGGATACCAGCAGCTATCAAATTACCAGGCCGGAGATCAGTTAGTTGCAATATGGAAAATAATAAGGACAAAATTCTCATGCAAATAAGAAGAGGATTTCAGAACTAAGTAAATCAATAGATAATTTACTTTATTAATTGGTAGTGAAGATTGTGAGAGAGGACCGAAGTGTAGGCAAGGGAGAGGAAACAGAGATAATAAGAGGGACAGATTAATTGAGTGATCAGAGGAGAAGGCAATAATAACAACTAACAGGTCTCAAGACATGCATCAGGCACAGCTTGTCCACGAGGGAAATGATAATCCGTAAGTCAGTAAATGTTTATCAAGTCTTTTCTTAAAGCCGTCCACTGAGGGGGCTGTAGTAACCTCTGCTGGGGGATAATTCTAGGTTTCAACAACTCTTAGTGAGAAAAAGTGAGCACGAATCTGAGTTTTCGCTCTTTGATGATCAATATTTCGAGGCTTACCCCGTGGTGAGTGGTGGTTATGCATCGGTAAGGTGCTCATGTTGGGATGGTTTGGAGTGCCTAATATGTCGCAAGCCATAATCAAATCACCTCTGATCCTCCTGTAACTCAGAGGGAATAATCCCAAGTGCTGTAATCTATCTTCGTAAGGTTTGTTCTTCAACCCTACCACCTATTCCGTTGCTCGTCTCTACACTCGATCCAAGAGATTTATGTCTCTTTTAAGCCGAGTGGGCGTGACAACGTTGAGAGCCTGCAGGTGTGGGCGCGCGTATGTCTTAAATAACGTTAATAATAATTGTGGGGTGATAGCACAAATTTGTCTCATTTGCCTTGGCTGCGTCCCCCATATAGTTTGGGCTTGTGTGGAGACGCTCTGAGGAGACATTAGGGAGCGGACTACCATGGGGGATGTAAATCGTTTGCGTCATTTGAGGCAGAATGTACATGACGTGACACCTCAGTTGATTTGGTTTTTTTTCACTGCCCATTCCTCAATAGATGTAAGATCCTTTTGAAACTCAGTCGAATCCTCTTTGCTTTTAATGGTCCTCCAGATCTTCGCGTCGTATGCATAGATCAATGCTGGTGGGCTGGTGGTGTGTCTAACAGGTCTTTAATACATATCAGGAAGAGAAGTAGACGTAAGAAGGTTCCTGGATGCTCTGGATGACGTGATTTTCTCTAAACGAACAGTCCAGGGTTTGTTAGCTCTACTCTCTAACCGGATACTGGCAACTCAGTCAATACAATTTTTATTTCGAAGGTTGTAATTGAAGCAGATTAGTTACTTCCCGTTTACTTCACTAATGTGGACCCTTCTTTCCAATTATTCTTAAGGTGAAACTAACAGTAGATTACTTTGTGACTCTGGCCACTTAGGTTGTGCTCATACTGTGGTGTGTGCTACTTGTACGAACGATATAAGTAGTATAATAATGAACGTGAGCGAAGAAGTCTCACGGTCAGAAGAGGAAAACGGAAAGCGAATAGAGCAAAAGCAAAAAATAAATAGAGCACCAACAGGAAGTAAAGGAAGCAACAGCAGGAATGGAAGAAGGCTGGAGCGTTGGAAGTCAGGACTCAAAGATGGTGTGCAAATAGAGTGTTCAATGTGATGTTTTCGTTTTTAATTGACTAAGGGTGTAAATTTGCCAAATACAATCTATTGAGCCTGCCTCAGTCTTCTCAATTGGTGTCGCTGCCTCTACACAGGATGAAGATACCATGGCCTCGGGAGTTCGAAGACGGAGATGTAAGGAGTTCGAGGCTGTGGCGGAGCTGGTCGGAGTCAAGGAACGGAGGGCGAAGGCGGTGGTGCTGGGGACTCTACTAAGAGGCAGGGCGAGAGCGGTGTACGATAGTGTGGAGGACGCTGACTGGAAGGCGGTGACGGAAAGGCTGCTGTTGGAGTTCGACATCCCGGCGGATAGGCAGGACGCGCTGCAGAAGTTCCGAGAGGCGCGACTATCGGTGGATGGCGACCCACTCGTGCTGGTCGTGGAGTTGACAAGATTGCTGCCCTGGTGTCTGCCGAATTTAGATGAGGAGTCGCAATCACAGCTGCTAGCCTCGCGATTCATTGAAAGTGTGCCTGCAGAAGTTGGCCAACTGTTGAGACTGGTGAACGCGGCACAACCAATGGACGTCACCGAGCTGGCGAAAGTAACAAGACAGCTGATGGGCTCAACAGTCGCCTCGGTGGCGTGTGAAAGACAGGCTGATGATGTCGTAAAGAAGATAGAAGAATTACAACGAGAGGTGGCAGCGTTACGAATAAAGGGTGAAAGAAATAATAAATGCTACATTTGCGGAGGAACCGGACATTGGATGAGGAATTGCCCAACAAAACGAAAACATCACATTGAACACTCTATTTGCACACCATCTTTGAGTCCTGACTTCCAACGCTCCAGCCTTCTTCCATTCCTGCTGTTGCTTCCTTTACTTCCTGTCGGTGCTCTATTTATTTTTTGCTTTTGCTCTATTCGCTTTCCGTTTTCCTCTTCTGACCGTGAGACTTCTTCGCTCACGTTCATTATTATACTACTTATATCGTTCGTATAAGTAGCACACACCACAATACTAGTAAGCAGTCTGCAAAAAGTACATTTTAATTATTGGATATTTTGTAGTAAACATACCATTTTCATTTAAAACGTATTTAGTCCAGCACAAAAGGTAAGATATACAATATATATCTGCAATATAATTCAGTCGTCGGAAGCAGATAGCATTCGACCAAACGTTTCTCAAGTTAGTATATATTGGTTAAACTTATCAGGCTGCTAAAGTTGTTTAGGTATGAATTAGTAGCGAATTCGTTTGAAAGTTTTCCGATGTTCCAGCCAGTCGTAACAGATAGTCTTGAACAGGGACTCTGTAGACAAGACATCGTAAGACTTGAAATATGTTCTGTGTAGTGTGCAGTAAACACGGAATTTCAGTAAAGACTCGGAAGCAGACAAAATTTCGGCTTTGAAGTATTCGTGTAGTCATGAATCACAGCTTTTCTTTCGTATTATTTTAGCGGCTTTCAGGCAGATAAAGTCTAACTTTATGAAATATATGCCATATCCCAGACACATTGACGTTTGTGAATAGTTGGAACATCGTAATAAAACCAAGCTACCAAAAGCGTGTGATTTTCATTTCATAATTCATCAAAGTTAGATTTACTGAGGACATCTTTTTACGGACCTATGAATATTTATAGGATTTCTGGAAGAGACAAAAGTTTATATGGGCTCTCCACTATCAGGGGTCAGAGATATGTCCTAATCTTGAGCGACCACTTTAATGGACCGATGGATGGACTGAGATGGAGATTGAAGATCAATTGAGGAAGTAAACTAATGTTAACTATATTGTTCAGGTTTTCAGTGAACCTAGGGATGTTCATGTTTTTAAATATCTGAAAACATATGACAACAGTTCAAGCTTATAATTGAAGGTAATTAAGTACCTATATCAGCAGGATATATTGTTTTGGTTAAATAATATTAAACGTCGGGATAGTGGGCGAAAAATGAAAATTTCAGTATTGCCAAGAAAATCATTGCCCAACACTAGACAAAAGGTAATGACAGTGTTTGAACCGATTTGCATCAAGCTGGGCTGCATCTCTTGCCATCCTATGCAATACTATTAATACACCACATGCTGTTCTGCTATACAGATCTGAAGGTTTCCTATGAAACCAGAGGTTCTCTGTAAACATTGTGGATGGCTTGGCATTGCTTTGGCGAAAATTGTTAACAATCCATTTACAAGTTCGGTTAGCAGGGTGACCGATCTCATTGATACTAGTGTTTGTTTTGCAACATTCCCGAGGGCCATTGTCATTGAAGTGATGCATTACTTATCACTATTGCTAATAATAATGAGCCTGACAGTCATGTTAGCGGGATGGGTTGAGTTGGCATGTTCATGCGGTGCATATTGACTGACACAATCATGGATCGGAAATAATCACTATACAGTATACTAGTGTATATAAGTGGTGTGAATGTTCCACCAGAGTGTCAGGCTGCCGTTGTTGATAGAGGGTTGATTTGTATAAAAACTGTAAAACTCTGGATAATAAGACGTAAGGAATTATAATTTTCTTTTACTCGTATACAGATTCATCCTCATCAACTTGTTCTTACAGCGTCTTGGCAGGGATTTTACTGCGCCTTTTTATGTTGCTGTACGGCTGTTTAACATGGGAATAATTATTTGTATCTTATGATGGTTTTTACAGATTACCATGTTGATCTTCATGCGAGTAGTCATCCAGACAGTTTATCAAATGCCACTAAGCGCGAATACTTAACGAAACTTGTACTAACCTACTAGGTGGAATTCAAAACCATCGAACTACTTAGGAATCACACAGAAGCTGCTTTCTATCGTCACTGATTAAGTTTTCGAACCTTTTGTTTCAGTATGCACCAGCAGGGCATGATATTTCTGAAAGTGATAAGGTCGCACCTGGTTAAAATTGTAATTTCATCTTTAACGCATTTATGGCAAGTACATTGACCTTACTCAACCGCTTATAACCTATGGACGCGTAGACATCAACCATATGAACCCTCGGATACGCGTGTATCATAATCATACAGATGATTATTCCATCTCTATTATCTTTCACCCTAGAACAAAAGCTAGTGTATTCATCCATCTTTTTTCAACAGCTCCCCATTAAAGATCAACCATAAATTCTTTTCACTCAATAAACTATTGTTCTCCCCGTTGATGGAGTCAAAGGAGCGAAAAAATACATATTTCATAGTTTTTAAGGACTTAAAGGACA